CAGAGCCAGCGGCAAACGTCAGAAGCACTAGCCGAGGTGAGGCTGTTCCAGGCGGGGAACATGAGCGCTGAGCGCCCGGTGATCGCCTGGATCTCACACATTTTTAAATAGGCGCTATCTTTATAAATAAACCACAGATTTGAGCTTTAAACATTGTTAACTGAAAAACTATTAAAACTACATTTCGAGACGCAATAACAGTAGTATTTTTAAATTTCACGGCCTTTCTCCTCTGAACGTTACTATTACTGATTATATCATGACGAAATACAACCAGAAACAAATTTTCAGTCTTGCTTGTGAAGGATATTTCCTCGAGACCTGCTTTCAATTGTGTGGCGATTTGTACAGCCCCAAGCAGCACACGAAACAGACATTTTTCTCAATTCTCGTTATGAGAAGTATGGGAAAGTTGCCCTCCGCAATATGGCGGCGCCGTTGATGTATGCTCCAGCGGCCAATAGGGCGTCAATGTATTTACGTCTATGAGTTAAAGTCCCATTCCAAAAGTGAGCAACTATTAAACTCGCTTAGGAGCATCTTGTGCGGACTCATTGTTTACTTTTGCAAATATCTGTCCGTCCAGCACCCAGCTTTATTACTTTGGATGTGCGTGCTGCACTTTTTGAGATCAATATAAGGTAAACCTACATTCTAAGTCTTGGCAGAGTAGAGAAAAGCGTCCTTTGAAATACAGCGTGGATGCTGATGCGGAAGAGAGATGCTGTTGGCGTTTTGTATTGAGAGTGTTTTCTTATGATTCCCCAGACAGCAACATGGTGGCGGCCCAGATCCGGTCCACATCTGGGCTGTGTGGACTCCATGTGTACCACATCTGGGCCGGATCTGGGCCGACACGATGTTGGGATTTCTCTCTGTAAACCCCAATGTTGTCATTAATAAAGAAATCAAGTTATCATAACTTAACATTACTTAAAATAGCAAGTTTTGGCATCAAAAATTAAAAAGGTCTGTTTAATGCTCATTTGGCAGCAAAAAAATTAAGAATGAAGAAAATAAAGAATTATTATTTTCTGTGAAATTTACATCAGATGAAGGTAAGTGTGAATTCATAAAATCATTGTAAATAACATGTTTACCATAACACAATTAACAGCAAAGTTTTTTAGTACCATATTTTTTTTCTGAAACGTATTTTCTAGCCCACTGCCTTCAGTTACTGCGTGCGCTGGCAACGTCCTGTGTTTTCAGAGATTTATATCAGACGAAGGTAAGTGCAAATTCATAAATCCTTTTTAAATAGAGTACCAAGACATAAGATTAAGTGTTGTTGATTAGGTGTTAAATTGAGTGTGTTTATGTTGTAGAAATCGCTGTGCCTGCTTGAAGGCATTTCAATTCCTCTGAGGAGGCTTGTGGATGATAACAGACTTGGCCTTTTCTAGATCTTGAACTGAACAGGACATATAACATATATGCCAGCCCCTGCAAGTACTCTTGTTACTGTCCTGCTTGAAGGCGTGGGTTATGTGCACAAGTCTTGCTATTGCATGAGTCAGTGATCGCCAGCTTGAGAATCTTTCAAACCGTTCAGGGTTTAATTCCTTTCTTGAAGTATGTGTAGCACAAGAAGTGACTTGGGGACGTACTTCAGTGTCTACATCTGGGTCTATGATACTGAAGAGACCCATGTGAGTTTCAGACTGTGTTGTTTTTGTCAAGAATGTTGGACCAGTCAACCACAGGGAAGCTACAGGGAAGGTTAGCTGCCGAAACTGATCTTGTGGCATGGTCGGCAGGGTTTTGATCGGTAGGTACGTATTTCCACTGCCCAGGGCGTGTAGATTTCCGTATTTTTTGCACTCTGTTGTTGACATACACATAGAATTTCCTGGATTCATTACAAATGTAGCCTAAGACGACCTTACTGTCAGAATAGAATGGTATAGCATCCAGCTTGGTGTCAATCTCATCTTCAATGGTTTCAGCTATTTCCACAGCTAGAACAGCTGCACACAGCTCAAGTCTGGGGACAGAGATATCAGGTCGTGGAGCTAGTTTAGCCTTACCAAACATGAAGCCAACTTCTACATTACCGCTCATATTGGTAACCCTGATGTAAGCAACAGCTGCAATAGCACTTGTGGAAGCATCACAGAAGACACACATCTCTTTGCCTTGTGTTTGACAGAAAGAGATAGTAGCATATGTGTGGGAAATTTTTACATACTCAAGCTCTTTTAATGAATATCTCCAAACCTTCCATTCCTTATATTTCTCATCAGGCACATGTGCATCCCAGTCACAAGACCCTGTGGTAAGGGCTCAGTATTCCCTGAAGGACGACAGGTGCAGCAAGCCCAAGTGGGTCAAACAAACTGTTAATCGTTGACAGAACACGTCTGGTGTAAGGTCTCACCTGGTCTGCAACCTGGAAAATGAACATATCCTCAGACAAATCCCAGCTCACCCCCAAACTTCTGTGAACTGGTGGGAGGCCAGTGCTCAGATAGATTCTTTAACTCATTTGCAAGGTCCTCTGGAGGAAATGCTTTCATGACTTCCACTTTGTTGGAGGCAATCTTGTGAAGATGTAGATTAGACAGAGCCAGCATTTTCTGGGTGGCCTTGAGCAGCTTGATGGCTTTCTCTTCTGTGGGGAGCGAAGTAAGGCCATCATCCAAATAAAAGTTCCTTTCCACAAAGTGCCTTGCCCCTCTGGTCCATAGTCTTTTTCACCTGAGAAGGCAGCTCTCCTGTGCCCATATATGGCAACTGCTGGTGACGGGCCATTACCAAAAACATGTACTCGCATCTGGTACTCCAGTACCTTGTTGTTTAAGTCGTTGTTGTCATACCAAAAGAAGCGTGGAAAGTTCTGATGCTCTTTTGTGACCACGAAGGAATGGAACATTTGCTGAATATCAGCCATCACTGCCACGCGTTCCTTCCTGAACCACAGTAGAACCCCCAAGAGACTACATTAGGGCCAGTAAGGAGGACATCAGTAAGGTGGATGGTACACCCCGAACATTGGCAGATACCAGCACTCTTCATCATTCTGTAATCGTGGTGCCAATTCTGCATGCCCATTCTCAAGTATCTTATGCATAAAATCAACAAAGTGCTCCTTTACCTCAGGGTGTTTTTTAAGCTTGCGAGTCAGTAAAGTGAGCCGGTTGCTGGCCTGAGCCTTGTTATTAGGGAGGCGTTGCCGTGGGCTACGGAACAGAAGTGGGGCAACCCAGCTATTTGACTCATCCTGATGGAACTCTCTTTCCATAATCTTCAGGAAGGCAAGGTCATCCATAGAGGGAGCTGGTTTGTCGTCATTCTTTGTGTTGCAGAAAACTGATTCGCCTATGGGACATTCATCATGTATGGACAAGCTTCTCTGTTTAAGGTTCAGGGTGGAGGATCTCTGAGGCTCATCATGACGGTTGAAACAGTCCTTCACATGCATATTGTTTGGACATGGACTCATGTAGCTGGGACGCACATTTCCTAAAATATGAGTTTTAAAAACATCCACTGACGAAGGCTTGTGAGCTCCATTAAGGCATACATCTCCAACTATCACCCACCTGGTTAATAGACGGTTAATAGATGCCTGTGTCTCATATGACCTTGTTATTTGTACACACTGTGACTATACAAATCACAACATATAAATAGGAAAATGTTTGCGTTATTTTGTCACTTATTGGGAGCAGTATGCTAGCTGGAGCCATTTACTTCCGGTCTTTTTGCTAAGCTAGGCTAGCGGTGGGTGCGTCAGACAGAGTTACGGCACGCACGGAGATGAAAAGGGTATGTATGGACTTATCTAACTCTGGGGGATACGGTGAATAAGCTAAAGTCCCCAAAAGTCGGAGTGTTCCTTTAAGAGCAGGCGAATCCAATTTCAATAGCTTAATTCTATCATAGCTTACATTGACAAAACTTTTAAACAAATTTTTTTTAGAGGAAAAAAAAATTCAAATTTAAAACTCACTATTTTGCCAGTGTCTTTTTTAAATTTTCTTTATAGCCCTGAATTTTCAAAAAGGCTACACTTAACTAACTTAAGTTTAGGAATAAGAGTAGAATTATGTAATTCTTAGAATTTTGACAGACTAAAGACTAAAATGTTACTCTGAGCGGCTTTATACATTCGGCCCCTGATATAGATTTCTCCCAATAAATTTAGTCTGATAAACACAGCAAATTAATTCAGTTAAACTGTTTCATGAATCATGATTCGACTAGTACACAAAATCTGCTAAAAAAAAGAGTTAATTTTCATTACTTTTTTGGACAAAATTGTTTGTCAAAATATAACATATATAACCATATAGCTAATGTAAGAGCCTAAATGACCTTATTTCATAAATAGATAGCAGCTGTAAAACAAGTATCCATTTCATCTTCTCTCAGTGATGTGTTTTTCAGAATCCATATTATGAGAGGAATCGCCTCTTTAAATATACATAGAAAAACAATTGAGCCATTTTTCCATAAATAATTAGTGTTTACTACTACTGGTTCATTAGCAATGCTGAATACAATGTTAAATGTACAATGCATCACCTCTAAACAGCGAGACTAAAAACAAGTTGTTTGTGATATGAATGATATTTGATAGACTATTGTTGCCATTGTTTCACAAATGCCTCACATGTACAATGAAAATATTGAAACCAGAAAGAACCAAAACACATCCCTTCATAAATCATAGTGGTTTATGGCGACACTCTAGTTTTCTGAACTATTATTCTTCTGTATGAGATGACCATGCACTGCTTGAGCGATGACACTGACACGAGTATTTTCACATTGTTGCTTTACTGTTCAGTTCATCTTGTATACAGTAACACTCAGTGTTTACTGCGCATGTGCAACACAACAGAGGATCAATACGGGTGTCGGAAGAACAAAACATGCAACTCTTACAATGCAATTCACAACCATTTAAACCGGTTCCCCTTATCAAACAATCAAACTTCAATACTAATTTTAGATTCAATTACTGTAGTAAAGGTTATTCCATCTTTTGCTTATTAACAAGTTATGGAAGTGAACTTTGCTCGCTTAGACACATTCAGGCAATGCTTTTTCTTATGTCGCTGTAGATTAGACAATATGGTGAAACTTCTCCCACATGAAGAGCACTGGTGCGGTTTCTCTCCAGTATGAATTCTCTCATGATCTTTCAGGTTTCCTGACCGAGAGAAACTCTTTTCACAGTGTGAACACTTGTACGGTTTCTCTCCAGTATGAACTCTCTGGTGTCTTATTAATGTGCCTGATTTAATAAAGGTCTTTCCACAGTCAAAGCACACATAAGGTCTCACACCAGTATGAATACTCTCATGCTCTTTTAAAGATCCAAGATGTGAAAAACTCTTTCCACATACAGAACAGACGTGAGGCTTTACACCAGTATGAACTTTAAGGTGTTCTCTTAAGCCGTATTCAAAAACAAATGTTTTATCACACTGATCACAGCTGAATGGCTTCACTCCAGAGTGACGGCGCAGATGATCTTTGAGAGAGCGTTTGTAAGTGAAACTCTTTCCACACTGAGTGCAGGTGAAAGTTTTTTCTCCGGTGTGAATTCTCATGTGGTCATTTAAGTGTCCTTTATGAATGAAACTCATTCCACACTGAGAGCATGTATAAGGCTTTTCTCCAGTGTGAATAATCATGTGTGTGTTCAGCTTTGATTTATATAGGAAACTCTTTCCACACTCAAAACAGGTTAAAGATCCTTCGACTCCAGATTTTCCAGCTTGTTTCTGTGTGAAATTCTCTTCAGTCTTTGAAACGACTGCATTTCCATCTTCATTTGTGAAATAATGAGGTTTTTGAAACTGATGCAGTTTGTCTTCATTCACTTCCATCAGGTCTAAAATAAACAAATTCACATAATTTAATAAAAGGATACATGAGAAACAAAAATAAGCATTATTCAAAATCTCAATTTAGCACATATCCCGTTTACTCCTGAGTCTACTAGTATCTAGTTTTAGATGTTATTATTGTTATATGTCAATTTTCATCTTAATGTTCCTCATCAGTCATTAAAGAGAATGAAGGAAAACACCAACCTATTTGTTCCTCTGTATCTTCATCTGTTATTCTGCAGGGTTCTTCCTTAATCTCCATCTTTACAATAGTATGTCCGTAGTTTCTCCTGGAGTAATTCCTCCTGCTTGCTTCTTCTTCTCCTGTGGGAAGATGGGAATATTCCCCAGCATTTAAACTCTCATGAACGGCTGTGGGAGCTTCACTGACTGAAGGAGTGAATTGTGGTCGTTGTTGCTCATTTAGCAGATGATCATCACACTTACAATCACTCGAGATTATCCAGGTGTAAAACGTCGTTTAGAAACAATGCAATGATTACTGAATTTACACTTTGGCCTTCATATCAAGCCCATAAGTGTAAATTCAGTGATCATGGAATTTGGCTGTTAAGTGGTGATGCACAATTATTGTCATTCATTGCATCTTGCATTGAGTGTAGAATTTATGTTACAAAGAAACAAACTTGTGCGAAATGAGTGACTTAAGTAATTAACACATTTCCTTGAGTAGCCATGTGTAAGTCCGTCTAATTCGATCCAATGGCGGTATCGATTAGAGGTGAAGGTCACATGCGCGTTCCGTCTCTTCCAATGGCAAAGGGATTTTTAATTAAATGCAATACATTCTATCTTATGTATTAACTCGTTTCATCTGACTCCATAAAATGAAAGTGTTTTTCAATGATATCTGTGCATCATTAAATATACGTTAATGTTTGACTATTCCTTTTAACTCCAATGAAAATAAAGTCAAAGTCTGTTAGAATAATCAAATATAACAATTTATTATGTCAGGTAAATGTATTATAACAATTCCATAATCAACTGAAAGATAATCAATGCAAATCATCAAATGTTCTAGAACAAAGAGGAAAATCTTTTACCCGACATGAAATACATGAATGCTGAGTCTCGGCGACTCAGCCTCCACGGGCCGATCTGAGATACAGAAAAGGCCACGATCCCTTGCTACATTCCATTAAATAGCCAGACCTCATTTCATATGTAAAACTAGAGTTTAGTGGAAATTTACTGTATTCCCCCACCACTACTGGGGGTAGGAAGTTTTACCATCTGCTCAGAACAGTGGAAATTAGCATTCATGAATTTACACCTTTTGGGAGTGCCTAGAGACCACATTCCTTTGTGTGCCAGTTATTCCTAAACTCTTAAAACCCTTATTTCCTTTTGTTTTACTTATTTGGAAATGAGACATATGTACCAGCCACCCTGAGACCTTTAAAATGATACTAAACACAATAATCATTCACATTAAAAAGAAATAAAAAAGAAAGAAAGAAACTTTTAAAACATTTTATTTGTTACTTTTAAATATTCAAATCTCTCTATATCCATCACATTTTTTATTTATAATACTTGTACCATCTAACTTAAATGAAGTCAAGATTTATAATAAAATAAACAACATCAATATCACAGAGTCCAGAGGGTAAATATAATAACAACATTGAAAGTTTGAATCTCAAAATGATCTATTATGGTGAAAGTCAACAGCTGTGTCACCTATAAGATGTTATTTCTAAATCTACTTAATTATTCCAAATCAAACATGTTTGGGAGCTATATAAATAAATGTATATATATCAACCAAGATAACAAGAAATTCAAGCAACCGAAGCAATGACACACATCCGAGTCTAGGAGAAGAAGAGAAGTGAGCGAGGGAAGGGAACATAAACATGATAAGCAGTGGTGGCCTTAAGCATCTGGGGGCCCGTTTAAATAACTAATATGGGGCCCTACCCACATAAAACATAAACATAATAGAGCAGAAAAAGCAAGGATTCCTGTTGGTTTGCATCAATGGTATATTATTTTATTACATGCACTTTCAGCTTCATGAACAGGCAGCTCAATATAGAAATAATACAACCTTATTTGATTAAAACTATACAGTTATACAGCGTTTTACGTTGGAATAAGCCTCGCCCTTTCACGCAGGGTAACTTCACTTTTGGTAGACTGAATAAAGCTTTTCTTTTGTTGTCCGATATCTTTCGTTTTTCAGCACCACTGGCATATGTACGTTTCATTTCCTCTTAAAATTATTTTTCTGCTCAAAATAGCATTTTAACCTAACGGCAAAAAAGGCAAAGGTATAAATACATAAACTACCGATATTATACTTCAGATCGCTTAAGCCGTTCGCGGGAGTGGTAAACGTCGCCATGGTAACCACGAGTTCGTCCAATCAGAGACGTCAGTGTTTTGCAAATAACAAGGTTGATTTCGTAGCTTGTGGCTTTTAAAGGAGCAGAAACTTTCATTTCCCAACCTCGTAGCTCGTGGTCAATCTACCTTGGATGGTTTAGACATTATGGCTGAAAATAAATATTCTATGGAGAAAATTAATGGGATTTTGCTGGTCTGTTGGGGCCCCCTTGGAGGGCGGGGCCCGTTTCAATTGAAATGGGTGAAACATAGGTAAGGCCGCCTCTGATGATAAGTGGAACACAGCCGTTCATTCAGCTCTAAATCTGCCGTTTTACAGACTGTGAGTACATTCATTTTATCATTTATTAAGAGAAATCTAAATGACTCTTAAAAGATTCGGTTCATTTTAGTGAATCTTCTGGACAAGGTAATCCATCAGCCGGAAACTGAAGCTTCCCTTGGGGCCGCCTGTTACGCTGAGGTTGAAGCAAGGAGGAAGCAGGATCCAAATGCAGCACGCTTTATTCAATACACTCAAAACTACACTAAGACTAAGGAACAGGACTCGGGAACAGCACAACCAACATCAATGTAACAACTACGGATGGCTGACGCGAATTAGACGTTCCGAAGCTTTGCGAGATCCCGAAGCGCAGATGATTCGAAACACTGATCCGAAGCATGATTCAAAACACCCACGTCACGTGACTACGGCTAAATGAAGCTTCTGAGTGTTTCATCAGGTGGAGTGCTCCGCCGAGTCAGGGTTTGATTGACAGGTCGGTCGGGAAAGATCAAACTATCACACACAGTATAAAAGTGAAGTCAACGCATTTTCACATCATGGGTTTTTGTGAAAGGAGTTTGGTTTTGAGGTAGTGGATTTTTGGTGATATAGTGACATTTATAGTGCGATTTGTTTAGTTATATTTAGGCTTCCATTTAAATGTACACATTGACTGAGAGACAGAGTACATAGTGACACATTAATAGATGCATAGATAGAAATATATATAGACAGATAGATTATTAGATATATACATGGATTAATAGATAGATACATACAATAGATAGATAGATAGCCTAGATAGATAGATAGATAGATATATTATTAGATATATACAATAGATTTTCATTTTCATTCAGAGCCACAAATGACAACATCAGGCCCATCATCATCATCATCAACACCAGTAGAAACACAGGACAGTTTATTAGAACATTTTGATAATCGTATCCGTGAAACCCAGATGATACACAATGCTACAGCTAACGCCACAGTAGAAGTGAAAAAATACCTCAACGATGCGTTTTTGCCCAGAACTCATGATCCCCTAACTTACTGGAAAGAGAGAGCAGTAATCTTTCCTCATTTGTATGTCCTTGCTAAAAAAATATCTTTGCATGCCAGCAACAAGTGTCTCGTGAGAGAATTTTTTCAAAGGCTGGAGAAATTATCTGTAAAAAAAAGAAGTAGGCTAAGTCCTTCGACAGCAGAGAAATTGATATTTTTGAATAAAAATCTATAAGAAAGTGAGACATTGTGGCTTGATTTCTTTTATTCATTTTTCATGACCAAAATAACATTATGCAATGTGAAGAGACTACAGGTTACAAGCTTCATATACTAGAAACATACAATAAAAATACAAATAAAAAAAAAACAGTTTTTTATTGGCTCATTGTCTTAAAAATCAAAGTTGTTTCAGATCAACACCTGCAAGTGACCACTAGGTGTCACCGTGGAGACGGGTGTTGGATTGATTCGAAGCCTCGAAACAATATGGCACGTTTGCTTCAACTGTTTTATTGCTTCACGAAGCCTCGATCTGCCCATCACTAGTAACAACGACAAGAACTCACAAGCTCTGAACTAAAACACAGGGTTTAAATACAAGGGCAAACAAGCTAAACAAGATAGCAAGGGGGCGTGGCTAATCTGAAACACCTGGGGAGACTAATAAACATAACAGGGAACTGCTAAACATGAAAAGACAGGGGAACACAGACTGACATCACACCACCATTGTAGCAGACCATCACCTGCTGTTAGCATTCCATTGACTCCCATTCATTTTGGCGCCACTTTGACAGCGTATAACTTTACATCGGAGGCGTTTAAAGACTCCATTTGTCCATTATTTATTTTTAAAGAAACATGACAATGTATAAAAGGCTCCATTGCCTTGTATCTTACGTTATGTACGTTGCTCACGTCACATCTACGTCGTCAAGCTCAGTTTGAGGCTGCGCAGTATGCTAAGCCATCAGGAAGTGAGTGTTTCTAATTGGCTTCACTTTTTTCTCCGTTGAAATCTATGGGGTCGCTGTGTCCATTTCTTTTACTGTCTATGAACATAAACATGAGAAGTGGAACACAGCCGTTCATTCAGCTCTAAATCTGCCGTTTTTCAGACTGTGAGTACATTCATTTTATCATTTATTAAGAGAAATCTAAATGACTCTTAAAAGATTCGGTTCATTTTAGTGAATCCAACCAGCCGAAGTGTTTAATTTAATAAATCCGAATCAGATCTTGAATCCGAAATTGAGGCACTTTCATTATGTTTGACTAGAAGTGAGGGAGGGAAGAGTCGCCACCGTTCACAGTGGGCCGGAGCCAGACAGCAACATAGTGTCGGCCCAGATGTGGTACACCTGGAGTCCACACGGCCTATATGTGGTACACCCGGAGTCCACACGGCCCATATGTGGTACACCTGGAGTCCACACGGCCCATATGTGGTACACCCGGAGTCCACATGGCTCAGATGTGGGCCGACACTATGTTGCTGTCCGGGGAATCATAAGAAAACCACTATAACACTCTCAATACAAAACGGCAACAGCATCTCTCTTCCACATCAGCATGCACGCTGTATTTCAAAGGACGCTTTTCTCTCGTCCGCCAATCCTCTGAGAACATGTTCAATAAAGGCAGAGCTGCAGAGAGAGAGAGA